TCGTAGACACGTCTATGCGGGGTGGTGGTGGTAGTAGGGACCGGGGGCGGCGGCGGCAGCACCGTTGGGTGGGATTCGTTTTTAATGCACGGCAATAACGCATGCAAAGAGACCGAGAGGGAGGGAGAGAAGCCCAAAAAAGAAAGAAAAAAAAAAAGAAACGTTTGAAAGCAAATAGAAAAAGAAAAACACAAAAAAAAGGAAAACACACAAAAAAGAAGAAAACAACAACAAACAGAACGGCAACAGCAAAAAGCGACATCCCTCCAAGGGACAACACCAATTGGAACAGCACACGTCACGCTCAGACTCAAACACCGGTTTTCAAATAAGAAGTAAATAAATCAAGTACATATGCGGATTGCATGGGCAACAGAAAACGCAAAAATTTGCGCTGCGGAATTAAGACCATGAAACATTTACAAAAAAACAAAAAAAAAAAGAAGGGCCCATTTCAAAGAATCCCCCCGGGGGTGAGAGAAATGAGAAAAAAACAAAATTCACCGAAAAATGGGGGGGAAACAGGGAACACAAAACAAGAATAATCGCACCACAAACAAAGAAAACAAACATAAATGGTGCCTTCGCTCCTTGAACTTTCTCATATATACATCATTTATTTCCATCACCGGCAGCCTTGAGGTCAAGTGTTCGCTGCCACTCTAAACGGTTACTCTCCACACGTTCGACTGTCCATTGCATGCCGGTGAGACTGGCACTCACAATCTTCTTAAAGAACGGGCCGGCAACAAAGTCAATGAAGCCAATCTGCCCCTTGGCCAGCTCCGTGTTCTTTGAGCGATCAAACATGGGCAGAACCTCCACGCCCTTCTCCTTTTCCATATCACCCTGTCGGTAGAATTCCTCCGTCACCGCCATGGCCCATAAGCGAGAGATATCAAATGGTTTGGTTACATTGGAGACATCGCCCGCCTTCACAATTACATCCATCATCATTTGCCTGGAGGCAACATCCCCAATTCGGTAAGGCTTTTCCATTGCAACAAGAAACAAACTTAAAAGTTCATTATGTTTGGCCATATCCGTGGCAAGCACACAGTCAATCATGGAGCGGTACGCCAAGGTGCGATCGGTGGCGTCAAGGCCCTCAAACACATCCGAGTCCGGGTCCGAAAGAATTTCAACAGCAAGATTGCAGTGGTGCACCTCCAGCACCGAGGCGTTGCCGCTCGCACTCGACAGAATACCAAGAGGGGAATCCGTCTTGAGGTAGAAGCTGTTGTTCAGCCCCATGTGGTCCAGATCGTGCACCAGCGCCGTCACAAGAAGCACAAAGCAGTCGAGCTCCGTCAGCTTTTCGCACACAGCTCCCTTGTACAGGAAGGTATATATGGTCTGGCACACATCCACAACGTGGTAAAAGTTGTGGTACGGCACGTTGCGGTACTTCTTCCGGCACTGCAGGATAAAATTCAGCAACGTGTCATCGCGGCAACGGAACTTTTGCGGGAGGCCGGTCCCAACAATCAGCCTGTACGCAACAGCAGCGGCAGCGTCAAGTGGTAAATCCATATTCTCGCGCAAATAGAACAGGTCAAAGTCAATGCTTGTGATGTCCAGATGGGCGAGATTGATGTCTCGCACAGCCTGTCTTTCGGTTTCCGTGATTGCAAGCGGACGTTTTATATTGCGCAACGAGCCAGTACGGCCACCAGCCAATGCACGGTTCTCATTCAGCTCCATCATTTCGCGTCCAGCTTTCACTGCAAACTCCAGAAGGTGGGAATTATTGATGGATATGCCTGCAAAGAGAGAGAAGACGCGAAACGTCTCCCGGTCACTCTCCGTGAACACAGTCACCTCCCCGGCTTCATTCAGTTTGTTCACAAGCTGTACCACAGCAAGGATCTCACCGTTCAGCACAATTGGCTCACATAGCAGGGTCTGTGTGCGGTACCCAAGCTGCTTGTCCACTTCTCGGTTGAATCGGGGGTCTTGATAGGCGTCAAGGATGTTCTCACCGATGCCAGTCGATGCCACGACGCCAGCAATTCCCTGCCCGCACGGAAAGCGGATCTCCTTCCCAGCCACGCTGTCCGCAATGCGGCTGTACAGTTCGTTCCGCTCCTTGTCCACCAGAAACAACGCGGAGCGATCTGCATACAGGAGCCTCTTCGCGCCGTGAAGCACGTGGCGCACAATGCCATCCACGTCACGGATGTCGGTGTTTGACAGCAGCGTCACAACGTCCAAGATGGCATCGCTCTTCCGCTTCTCGTTAATCAGCTTCTCGTTGATGCGGCAGTTCCGGAGTGAGGCTCCAGCGAACATGGAGAAGGTCTGGAAAAGCTCCTCGTCACGCTTGCCAAAGGTGCGTGGCAGTCTCAGGCCGCTCTCCGTCACCATGTCCAGCTTGTTAATCAACTGGGCAACAGCCACAATTGACCCCTCGTACGTCACAGGCATGCAAAGGATCGTCTTGGTGCGGTACCCAGTCGCCTTGTCCACTTCACGATTGAAGCGGTCGTCAGAGTACGCGTCGGAGATCTTGACCGTTTGTCCCGTCTGGGCCACGTAACCGGCAATGCCCGTGGCAATCGGAATGGCAACAATATTCCCATCTTCAAAGTGGGCCTCCAGGGTATCGTCTTTGACAAGGAATATGCTGCAGCGGTCGCTCTCGGTAAGCACCTTGGCAGTGTTCATGATGGAGTTTGCAAGCACAGCCTCATCCAGATTGTCACGGGCGAGCTGCGTTGCCATCGTCAGCATGGCCTCTGCCTTTTCTTTGTTCCAGTTCAGTCTCTCGGACTCGATGGTGTTGTGGATGACAGTCGCGGCTACGCGGAGAACAGCATCAATTATTGCTTGGCTGTGGTAGTCAGTTCTGCCTGAGGGGCTTTCGACGCATCCGATCACTGTCTCATTGTGGAGGAGTGGTATGTACAAAGTACCGGCAATGCTGAAAGGCCGTGTACAAAACAGTGTCTTACCCAACGGTGTCCTTTCGTCCACGAGCGCTGCTATTCCATTGACAGGGTCCTTCAACAGGTCGTCACCGGAGTCAAGGTAGTACGTGCGGGTATTTTTGGTCCGTAGTACTGCAGATATCTGTTCATTGAGCATTATAAAAACCTCCTTAATGGGTAGGCATAAATCAATGCACTTTTCCATAAGTTTTGTAACGGACTCAAGAGGTGTCTGAAATACCGCCCCAATCGTCGGAATTGCCGGAGCCATTTTTATGATTTTCTGCGACTTGACGAATGCCGCATTATCCCCCTGTGTGGCATGCGTAATTTCATGAAATCGCTCAGAAACAGCCTGAAATGCCTTTGTTTCCGTTTCATCAACCTGCAGGCCGCATCGCTTATAGCGTGAGAGGATGACTTCGCACAGTGTCAATGCCTCAAGGAGATGACGACCGCCTGTCTCCGTCATAAATCACGTACAACGCTGTACGAAAATTAAAAATACAAATAAAAATAAAGAAACACACAATTTCCTTGAAATTAAAAAAAAGAGAAAAAAAAAAAAAAAGAGAAACACAATCCACACGTATACATACATACATACATACATGTGCATTTATTTATCTCTCCCTCTCTCCCTCTCTCTCTCCCTCTCTATGCATGCGTTGTATTCATGTTGCAACACCACCGTTCTGAATGCTCACAAATCGGCAACAACCGCGTGACCGTCTTTTGGCCTTCGCCCCGTAATGACCGTCACACCACATGACATGTGAGAAACAACCCAAAACATCAACAATGAGGACATCATAATAACAATCATCATAATCGTGACGGCCAAAAAGAAAAGAAAAAAAAAAAAAAAGAAAAAGAAAAACGGGGTAAAAATCATTCCCTCCTCCTCCTCCTCCTCCGTTTCGTTTATTTTATTTTTTATTTTTCTCTCCCTCTCTCTCTCTCTCGTCCCTTCCACTTGTTGGTGCACTGCCCCCGCTGGTGTTACCCGAAATAATGAAAGATACATGGTAGCCGAGTGCAGAGAGGCCTTGACGCACAGGAGGTGATACACATGGAAGTACGAGCGTGCAGGCAATTGTAACAAACATAAACATTACATGTTGAATCCCTCGTCCTCCAAAAAAAAAAAAAAAAAAAAAAAAAAAAGTACATAAATAAATAAATATAAAAACATTTAACACTGTGACGGGTGTGGTCCCTCTTTCTCTCCCGGTGTGTGTGTGCGTGTGCATGATCCCCACGGCATTCACAGGAGAGAAAGAAAACAACAACAACAACTTCCTTTTCAGTCAATCAGCCCTCACACACACGCCACCCACACCAGCGGCATATCACCACACATAGAGGCAAAAGGCCATCCAGGAGAAAACAAACAAAAAACAAGCCGTACATCAACATGGTCCACTACATTTTCCGCTTCAAATGCAAAAAAAAAAAAAAAAAAAAAAGAAAGAAAAAAAAAGGTTAACAACAAGAAAATTAAAAGGAGATGGCCGAAACATATCGTGGCAACACACATACATGCATACATATTTATACAAACAATATACCAGACAAACCTCTGCCCCCTCCACTCCCAAAAGAAAAAAGCAGGCATTCAGAGACTCCGTCAAAAACAACAACAACAAACATCCCCAGAAGTCACACCTATACATCGTAATAAAAACAACAAGAACAACAACAAAAAAAAAGTTCAAAAACGAAATTGCCAACCCATACAACAACAAAAGGATAAAAAAAAAACCCTTGAAGAAATGCAAGAGGCCACAAAACGGCAATGACGCTGCATCAACGACGGTTCCACGCACCAATAATATAATTCAAAAACACAAGACAAACATAAAGCTTTATTGTTTCAATTGCATATTTACAAGGGAAAAAAAGGAAAAAGAAAAAAAAGAAAAGGGATGTTTTCCTTTTTTTTGCTTCAGGCTGTACACAAACTAAAATATATAAATACGTACGCCTACAGTCAAAAGCAACACAACAAGAAATTGTTCTCTGGTAATATTGGTAATTGTTTTTGCTTCAGTTTGTTTGTTTCTAACACTACTTGGCATCAAGTGTTCGCTGCCACTCTAAACGGTTACTCTCCACACGTTCGACTGTCCATTGCATGCCGGTGAGACTGGCACTCACAATCTTCTTAAAGAACGGGCCGGCAACAAAGTCAATGAAGCCAATCTGCCCCTTGGCCAGCTCCGTGTTCTTTGAGCGATCAAACATGGGCAGAACCTCCACGCCCTTCTCCTTTTCCATATCACCCTGTCGGTAGAATTCCTCCGTCACCGCCATGGCCCATAAGCGAGAGATATCAAATGGTTTG